CTAACGATTTTTGGCATAAAAGAAAAATCGATAATTTTGACCCATACAATGTATTTTTGGCTATTGCTACAAATATACCCCAGCGACTTAAGACTGGTTTTGTGGCCCAGGGTCACATATGATTATTATTTTATTTTTAAGGGATATCATACAACCAATATTTTATTTTTCATCCAAGTTAAACAATTGTGTTTTGCAGTATTGCATTTGACAAAAAAAAATGCAACGTCTTGTTATAAATTAATTGTTATATTTTCATTTGATTACATTTTAAAGGATTGATTAAATTGTTAACATTTTATTAATGCATTTCATTAAACACCAGCTTTGATGATAAATTTGTATTTAATCATAAAACCAAGGAAAAAATAAAATGGGAAACAGAATTTAGGAAAAAATAAATAAATTAAGGTAGCTACTCTGTGAAGTTTAATTGTGAATGTTTACATTTGTCCTCAAGGTCTAACAAACATGTGGAAAGCATTTTCTGCCCCATTAATGGTAAATTAATATTGTGATAAATATTGATGATATATGATATGAAAAAAAATTTGTGATAATATTATTGACCATATCCCCCAGCCGTAGAGGAAAGTGACCATATCCCCCAGCCGTAGAGGAAAGTTAGTTTAACAAGCAAACATTTAATCAAATCTGACTGTCTCTTGCAGGTCCACACAGATTAAGACGTACTCATGGGATAACGCCCAGGTGCTGCTAGTGGGCAACAAGTGTGACATGGACGATGAGAGGGTTGTGGCCTCTGAGAGGGGACGACAGCTCTCCGAGCATCTCGGTAAGTCATGTTTCCAGGTTGGTGCAATATTTTTGAATATTCACAGCTATAGTTTTAAATATATTAAAGGTATGGTAGGTGATTTCGGAGAGGCTAGCTATAGCAAGATCCCCACCCTCCCATGAAGCGTAATCCTGAATTTTAGCATTGCAGTTTAAATTATTTGGCAATAATATATTTGGCATAATATCATGCATAGTCATAAAGTAACATACATGTTAACAGTTGGATAAAACCATCTAAATCAGATTTGAAATATTGTCTAAAAAAATCTACAGAGAAGTTTGAGTCGGGAAAAGTATGGAATTTTTTTACATTTTGAAATGATAGAATGTGTAAACATGCTGCTCTTGTTGGCAGCTCACTTTAGAGTTTTAGAACAAGGCCTTGGTCTTGACTTGGTTTCTTCTTTTGTCCGTAGGTTTTGAGTTTTTTGAGGCCAGTGCCAAGGACAACATTAACATTAAACAAACCTTCGAGCGGCTGGTGGACATAATCTGCGAGAAGATGTCAGAGAGCCTGGATGCCGCTGATCCTGCAGTGACGGGAGCCAAACAGGGGCCGCAGCTCACTGAGCAGCCCACCGCTCCGCACCAGGACTGCGCCTGCTGAAAACCCCATGGCTCTATCTGCACTGCCTTGTACCAACACACAAAAACAACAAGTTTAGGTATTTAAAAAGAACAAGAAACATAAAACCCTCAATTCCCTTACTGCCTCCTCTGGTCACATTCTCTAACTCCTCCCCCTCCTCTCTGAATACACATTTAGACATCTCAAACTTTGAAAAGATTTTATTCAACATGCAATTTTTAAAAGGAAAGCCTTAGTGCCCTTTAAAGGGATAGTTCACCCATAAATGAGAATTCTGTCATCGTTTACTCTCCCTCAAGTTGTTCCAAACTTATATGAATTTCACACAAAAGATATTTTGAAGAATGTTTAACCAAACAGTTGTTGGTCCGCTTTGACTCCCTTAGTATGGAAAAAAATACTATAAAAGTCAATGGGGACCAGCAACTGTTTGTTTAAACACATTCTTCAAAATATCTTTTTATGTTCAGCAGAAGAAATAAATTCCTAGTTTTGGAACAACTTGATGGAGAGTAAACAATGAAAGAATTTTCATTTTTAGGTGAACTATCCCTTTAAGGGTTTGTTTAGGCCTGAAATTATGATTAAGCCCACATTATCTTTTAAAGACTTTATAATTAGGCCTATATTTAAATGTTAGGAGTGTGTGGTTAGGCCTTAGTTTGGCATAGCACACAGAATCAGTTATCTTTTAAGTTTTCGATGCCTTCATTTCACTTCATATTTTAACATTTTTTTTCTTCTACACTTCCATATCCTTATATTATTTATGAACAAATAGAAAAAGAGGAATGGAGAGATATTTCTATATATTTATTCCAAAAAGTGTACATAATAAATACAGTTCAGTATTTAAATAATACAGTTAGAAATACATATCTAAAATGTTTTGTTATTTTTTTGAAAATTCTGCTAAATATAAAGAAAGTTAGAGAAGTCAATACATATGTTTTCATGGTAATACTTTGCAGTGCTTGTCACAAACCTTTCTTGCTTATTTCGTATCTGTGACATTGTATCTTGTTCACTGCCTTGCCTCATGTAATGTCAGTCCCGAGACTGAAAGCCAGATATCATACACAAACATTCCTTAATGTAAGTTTGCATGGAAGGAAATAAAGCCATTTAGGCAAATAGTGGTAGGATTCCTTTCTCAATGCTTCGTTAGGTCTAGTTAAGTGTATTTCTAGTCAAAATCTGAGTTTGATTTGCAGCCATGCTGTTGCTTATTTCACTATAGCAGCAGAGCCATAAGCTCGACCTACGTACTATCAACAATATACTTATACGCTCTCAAAATTTAGCAAAAGTTGCTGAGATTTGACTGGCATTTCCCATAATGACTCTCTAGACTGGCGTGTCCTGTGAAAGATTTTACTTGGCTCTGTGTAATACCAGGCCTGCAACTATAATGCAAAAATCAGTTTGCAAAAAAAAAAAAAGCCCAATGAGAATCTAATAAAACAAGCTTCAGGGATAAAGAGTTTTGGCAGAAAGAACATATTTTAGTGGATGTTCTCCTTATATTAAAAACTTTTGTGTCATCCTGGAATGGTCCATTGAGCAGTAGGTATTAAAAAAATCTGGTTTCATGTAGATTGTTCATACTTCACAGCATACAGATTCCATTTTGTTTGTTATTTGTTATTAAGATAGGAATGAATTAAGTTTTGAGGTCTGCTGATAATGCCTCTTTTGTGGCAGTGTCCGTTTCCTCGTTTGCTGTCATTCCACAGTGCCCAGGCATCCAACAAAACCAGATATTACATTTATGACCCTGTAGTTCCAGCAGTTTGTAAAAGAGCTGGGTGATCATTTTTGATGTCATTGCTTGAAGACAGGACTTTGAATCTGTAATTATAAGAACATTTCTCTGTTGCATAGTCTTTATGTAATCCAATGCCAATATGATAGCATTTGTTTCTGATGTAAAAATTGAGCTGTTCAGGGATGGATATTCCTCTTTTTTAGTGGTTTATGCAGATAATACATGGTCCTCATTTTTGATCCATCAGTATCTATAGGGATATGTGATAGAAATGTCTCTATGACTCAGATGAGCTGTTGTTGAAAGTCAACCAGTACAGTATAAAAGAGAAAGTTGAGCCTTTCTGTGCTGGTGCCATATTGAAATCTTCAGTGCTGATGGATCACCTTATGAATGAAGTTCTCCACACGTCCCTGCAGACCCCACCAGCGAAAATGGACAGTCACCAGCTTGTACGCTGTCATGTAGGGACAGTTACCATTATGAAGCTCTTTCTGCAAGACACAGAGAGAGGGGTGGGTGCATGAGGAACAGATATTGTAGATAATTACTCATTTGGATAGTTCAAAACAATCAATGTGAACAGAAACTGTGCATACAAGACTGAATGACAACATTAGCTATGTTCTCTGAAAAATAAATAAATCCAAAATGTCATACAAGGCAAGAGAAATGTTGATTTCAAATAAACTTCTTTCAGTACTTAAAAGCATCAATAAAAAAAGTAGCTTACTGTAATTACAATGGAAAGCTGTTACTCTAGTACCATGCCAGCCACCACAGATATATTTAAGGCGAGAATCAAGTGAAAAAATAGAAAACAAAATAAATAACTAAACCGTATATACATATGTGACCCTGGACCACAAAACCAGTCATAAGGGTAAATTTTTCGAAATTGAGATTTATACATCATCTGAAAGCTGAATAAATAATATTTCCATTGATGTATGGTTTGTAAGGATAGGACAATATTTGGCCGAAATACAACTATTTGAAAATCTGGAATCTGAGGATGCAAAAAAATCAAAATATTGAGAAAATCACCTTTAAAGTTGTCCAAATTAAGTTCTTAGCAATGCATATTACTAATCAAAAATTAAGTTTTAATATATTTACAGTAGGAAATTTACAAAATATCTTCATGGAACATGATCTTTACTTAATATCCTAACGATTTTTGGCATAAAAGAAAAATCGATAATTTTGACCCATACAATGTATTTTTGGCTATTGCTACAAATATACCCCAGCGACTTAAGACTGGTTTTGTGGCCCAGGGTCACATATGATTATTATTTTATTTTTAAGGGATATCATACAACCAATATTTTATTTTTCATCCAAGTTAAACAATTGTGTTTTGCAGTATTGCATTTGACAAAAAAAAATGCAACGTCTTGTTATAAATTAATTGTTATATTTTCATTTGATTACATTTTAAAGGATTGATTAAATTGTTAACATTTTATTAATGCATTTCATTAAACACCAGCTTTGATGATAAATTTGTATTTAATCATAAAACCAAGGAAAAAATAAAATGGGAAACAGAATTTAGGAAAAAATAAATAAATTAAGGTAGCTACTCTGTGAAGTTTAATTGTGAATGTTTACATTTGTCCTCAAGGTCTAACAAACATGTGGAAAGCATTTTCTGCCCCATTAATGGTAAATTAATATTGTGATAAATATTGATGATATATGATATGAAAAAAAATTTGTGATAATATTATTGACCATATCCCCCAGCCGTAGAGGAAAGTGACCATATCCCCCAGCCGTAGAGGAAAGTTAGTTTAACAAGCAAACATTTAATCAAATCTGACTGTCTCTTGCAGGTCCACACAGATTAAGACGTACTCATGGGATAACGCCCAGGTGCTGCTAGTGGGCAACAAGTGTGACATGGACGATGAGAGGGTTGTGGCCTCTGAGAGGGGACGACAGCTCTCCGAGCATCTCGGTAAGTCATGTTTCCAGGTTGGTGCAATATTTTTGAATATTCACAGCTATAGTTTTAAATATATTAAAGGTATGGTAGGTGATTTCGGAGAGGCTAGCTATAGCAAGATCCCCACCCTCCCATGAAGCGTAATCCTGAATTTTAGCATTGCAGTTTAAATTATTTGGCAATAATATATTTGGCATAATATCATGCATAGTCATAAAGTAACATACATGTTAACAGTTGGATAAAACCATCTAAATCAGATTTGAAATATTGTCTAAAAAAATCTACAGAGAAGTTTGAGTCGGGAAAAGTATGGAATTTTTTTACATTTTGAAATGATAGAATGTGTAAACATGCTGCTCTTGTTGGCAGCTCACTTTAGAGTTTTAGAACAAGGCCTTGGTCTTGACTTGGTTTCTTCTTTTGTCCGTAGGTTTTGAGTTTTTTGAGGCCAGTGCCAAGGACAACATTAACATTAAACAAACCTTCGAGCGGCTGGTGGACATAATCTGCGAGAAGATGTCAGAGAGCCTGGATGCCGCTGATCCTGCAGTGACGGGAGCCAAACAGGGGCCGCAGCTCACTGAGCAGCCCACCGCTCCGCACCAGGACTGCGCCTGCTGAAAACCCCATGGCTCTATCTGCACTGCCTTGTACCAACACACAAAAACAACAAGTTTAGGTATTTAAAAAGAACAAGAAACATAAAACCCTCAATTCCCTTACTGCCTCCTCTGGTCACATTCTCTAACTCCTCCCCCTCCTCTCTGAATACACATTTAGACATCTCAAACTTTGAAAAGATTTTATTCAACATGCAATTTTTAAAAGGAAAGCCTTAGTGCCCTTTAAAGGGATAGTTCACCCATAAATGAGAATTCTGTCATCGTTTACTCTCCCTCAAGTTGTTCCAAACTTATATGAATTTCACACAAAAGATATTTTGAAGAATGTTTAACCAAACAGTTGTTGGTCCGCTTTGACTCCCTTAGTATGGAAAAAAATACTATAAAAGTCAATGGGGACCAGCAACTGTTTGTTTAAACACATTCTTCAAAATATCTTTTTATGTTCAGCAGAAGAAATAAATTCCTAGTTTTGGAACAACTTGATGGAGAGTAAACAATGAAAGAATTTTCATTTTTAGGTGAACTATCCCTTTAAGGGTTTGTTTAGGCCTGAAATTATGATTAAGCCCACATTATCTTTTAAAGACTTTATAATTAGGCCTATATTTAAATGTTAGGAGTGTGTGGTTAGGCCTTAGTTTGGCATAGCACACAGAATCAGTTATCTTTTAAGTTTTCGATGCCTTCATTTCACTTCATATTTTAACATTTTTTTTCTTCTACACTTCCATATCCTTATATTATTTATGAACAAATAGAAAAAGAGGAATGGAGAGATATTTCTATATATTTATTCCAAAAAGTGTACATAATAAATACAGTTCAGTATTTAAATAATACAGTTAGAAATACATATCTAAAATGTTTTGTTATTTTTTTGAAAATTCTGCCAAATATAAAGAAAGTTAGAGAAGTCAATACATATGTTTTCATGGTAATACTTTGCAGTGCTTGTCACAAACCTTTCTTGCTTATTTCGTATCTGTGACATTGTATCTTGTTCACTGCCTTGCCTCATGTAATGTCAGTCCCGAGACTGAAAGCCAGATATCATACACAAACATTCCTTAATGTAAGTTTGCATGGAAGGAAATAAAGCCATTTAGGCAAATAGTGGTAGGATTCCTTTCTCAATGCTTCGTTAGGTCTAGTTAAGTGTATTTCTAGTCAAAATCTGAGTTTGATTTGCAGCCATGCTGTTGCTTATTTCACTATAGCAGCAGAGCCATAAGCTCGACCTACGTACTATCAACAATATACTTATACGCTCTCAAAATTTAGCAAAAGTTGCTGAGATTTGACTGGCATTTCCCATAATGACTCTCTAGACTGGCGTGTCCTGTGAAAGATTTTACTTGGCTCTGTGTAATACCAGGCCTGCAACTATAATGCAAAAATCAGTTTGCAAAAAAAAAAAAAGCCCAATGAGTATTAACGTTTACATGTGCTAGATCCTCTCTGATTATTCCTGCATCTTTCCTTTGCTATTCTGTCTTCCTTTAGTGAAAACTTACTGTAAATACATTTGAGTCTTTGGTTTTATGTGTGGACTGTGTTGTATGGATTATGGGCTTTAAAAAAAATCTAGGTGATATTAAGAAAAAAACTACAAAAGAGGATATAAAGGATGTTCTTTACCTGCTGTTGTGTATGCCTGCTTGTGAATGAATGTCACTTTAGTACAGAGCAATATTGAAGAAATACCTTTCCAGGTGTTGCAGATTATTTACCATTTTGTTGACATAAACAGAAGAGTTTTGTAGGATGTAATGGGAATGTGATTGTTTGATTAAGTGGGTTAAATCCTAGTTGAAAAGTACTGTTGTAAACCAAAGCAGGCAGATAGACTGATAGTCACGTCTACTGTGGAGCAGGTTTGCAGAAATAAAAAAGCCTGACTGTATTTGTGGCGAATGCTGTTCATTATTTAAAACCGCTTATGTTGAAAAAAAAAATGTTGAAATTTAATGTAGATGTCAGCAGAGCCATTGCTACATTCACTAGGCCTGGGACAAGTTGTTTGTAGGTGGGTCCCCTCTCTTTTAGGCCTAATGAGCAGTTGATATAGACAGAGGACCTTAGTGAGCCCCTCTCATGACCCTGGATATCAGAAATGAGACGAGAATGAGTTTGAATCTTTATGAACATCACAGCTCACCATGTAAGGTAGCCGCTCCACATTCAGATCAGTTTAACACAACTAAGAGTTTGTTCTCCATTTCCTACATTTTTATCTAGAATTATTTTTATTCATGCTTTCCATTGTGATTTTGTTTTTTCTTTTTTCTGATAATCAAGTGTAATGTACAAGGAAAAAACACTAATATGCAGTAGTAAATGTACTGTACTTACAATAAGGGGTTTAGTGTCAAAGTGTCCAGTGGTGAAATTTACCAAATCAACTGTCTATGTTGTGAAAATGATTGAACTTATACAAAAATAAAAGTTTGTGCTGTTTACTTGAGACTATGTTGCGTCTTTGCCTGTTTTTATGAATTTATTTAGTCAGCAATAGACCTTTGTCAGGTTAGACACCATATTGCATTAATAATGTAATAGGCTTACAGTGTTTACAATGTCCCTAGATCACGTAATTATCACAATTCAGAACCGTTTTATGGAGTATTTGTCTACTGAACGGGTTTTTCACCCCAGAAAAACGTTTCGTCCGCTGAACAACCGTCGCGTTAAAACAACAGTACAATCCCTCGACCCTCACAGCCTCGTTTACATTCCCGTCAAATATTTAATATGGCGGTACCCTGACTAAGGTCTTTTGGCCTGTCATCCTAAATGAATACCTCTCTATCGATGCCGTTTCATTGACATAAACACAAGAGGGAACTAAAGACTCAACTATCGCCGTTGACCTAAAAACAGCAGTACTCCCTCTTGGAAATCGTGATTTCCAATAGGATTAAAGGCTGAATCAGCTGTTGTCATGGTAACAGTCGGCCACGTAAGGTCCAAGCGAGGAAACGCCACTGATTGGCTGGAAGGAAAATGCTGAGCGTAATCATATTTCTTCAGTTATCCTTGTTCAGGTCAGTTAAAAATATCTAAAATCACAGTGAAATATATGAAACGTAAGTTTTTTTAAGCTGGTTTCGCGATTATACAGGTTTGGAACAACCTGAAGGTGAGTAAATGATGAGTTTTAATTTTTGAGTGAAATATCCCTTTGACGCAGAGATGACTCTTGGCAAGCCATTTTTATTTTGATATAGTCCATTTTTTTACTAGACCTTAGTTTTGGAGATCTGTAGAAGGGTAAAGACAGCAGTTACCTAAGATGTTACTTAATGTTTAACTTGTTTCCATTTCTTTAGATGTAATAGAGCGCTCACACATATTAACAGCAATTGCAATATTTAACAAAAATTGTTTATTCACAAGTGCATTATATAAGTGCAGTGTTACACCATGGTTGTATTTTAAAGCACAAAAACAAACAAACAAACAAAACAAAACAGCAAATGTGAAAACATGCAGCAAAATGTGAGAGAACAGAAAATAAAAACAATTTGGAGAAATTGGAGGGCATCTTTACATCGACTTGTCCAACTTGAAATCTTTGGAGAGATCCAGGACGCCCATTTCAAATTAAACTCACTCTTTTTTGCTTGACGATCAAACTGAGAAAGTAGATGACAAAAAGTATGAGACAGTTTATAAAAATTCACATGACAAATGTTCTGTGTTTTTCCATTAAGGGCTTTTACAACAAACTCAGTGCAAAAAAGTTGTCGAACACCATTGAATGCACAAACTGAGGCTTGTAAATGAGTCTCTAAAAGAAAATACTCAACCTTACGATGCTAATGTGTGAATGTCAAGAGACCTGAAAAGGTGCTCGTGTCCAAATGGAGTAAATCTTAAACTAACACATGACAGGAAGATCTGTTTTTTTATCTAGTGTTGGTTTTTGACACCTTGTGGTTTTCCAGGCTTTTTGTCTTGCTGTCCACGGCCAGTTCCCAGCATGCCTCTGCCACGGCCACCAAAAATACCTAAAAAGAAAAACAAAACAAGTCTTGTGTATGCATTTCGGAAACTGTGACTGCAATGTTTAACCTGATAAAAGAAATTATATCGCAAAAGTTGTTTGTAACGAGACTTTTATTATAAAATCAAGATAAACAATCATGCTAAAAATTAGTAAACCATGATCATTTTTCATGCAAAGTGTTCAAAAGATAACATCCATATATAAAATAGAAAAAAAAGATTTATGATACAACACGTCTTCAATATAAACTGTTACATGCGAACATTTTGTTTCAGTATGTCTTTTATGTGTTTGTTGGAGGTTGAATTTAAATACAATACCGCCCATACTACTTCCATGCACTGTGTGAAAATATGAAGAAAAAAAAAAAGGTTCACGTCCTTATATGGATCACCATTGGACCTTGGTGGTCATCTAGTGGAAAAGATTGGTACCGCGCCCAAACAAAATATTACTGAAAGCTATTTATTTTTTTAGTGATGAACCTCAAATTTGTAACACAGCTTGGTTAGTTTTATGGCTTTGATCTTCTAGCAGTTTTAGAGTCCAACATATTTTGCAACAGATGTTTTAGATAAAATATAAAACTGTAATTTTTTCATAAACTTTTTTTGTTTAACTTTTTTTTCACTCTTGATATTTGGAAGATTATTGTTAGCTTTCAAACAAGACATATGCTCCATATTGTCTTTGCTCCAAAGTATTCAAGATTTACAACTATTTAAGATGGAAACGTCATTTTGGGGTCTACGCCCCAAAAGTGGGACTGAGAGTTAACAGGTTAAAAAGAAGATACTTTGAAGAATGTTTGTAACCAAACAGTTGACGGTAGCCATTAACCTCCATAGTATTTTCTTCCGTATAATGGAAGTCGATGGCTACCGTCAACTGTTTAGTTACCAACATTCTTCAAAGTATCTTCTATTTAGTGTTTAACAGAAGAAACTCATACAGGTTTGGAACAACTTGAGGGTGTGTAAACGATGATAGAATATTCATTTTTGAATTTCAGCATTTAGAACTTTCATTGTCCCTTTAAGTTCACCCATAAATGAAACTTCTGTCCCATTATTCCTTTAACAAGGGCTCTGAAATGTGTCTAACCTCTGACGGATCCACCGCCTCTTCCAGGTACGCCTCCTCTGCCCTTTCCCTGTGGCTTGTTCTGCTGCATGCCTCCCCGGCCACGTCCCTTTGATAGCACTTCCTCTTTCACCATATCTATGATCTCATCAGGGATTCGTAAGTATTTAATGGTGCTTCCTCTGATGTAGCATTCCGGCATCCTCCAAAATTTATCTCCATCCTGCAATTCAGAGCAGGCAGAAACAACAATTACATTCCGGCACAGACACAAATGCCATAATCGCTCAATCATGTTTGTTTATGCGATCAAAAATGTTTCAAATATTTCAAAGAACCCTGTATCTAGAGGAAAGAGGTTTTATTTACCCGTGAGGTGCAAATAACTTCTCTCAAATTGATGTTCATCCAGTTGTCACAGCTGACCAGATGGCCGTTGTACGTCTCACCATTCTTTAACTCCACCAGCTGAAAACAAAAGCATACTAACTTAAACCCCACCTTTTTAAAAGCCATTTCCATTTATTTGTTATGCTAGTTGGTCCCTTATAAAAATGTAATGTGGCAGTACAGTGATTTGCATCAGATGGTATTACAGTGTAAAACTGACTGCTCCCTTTTCAGTGACCTTGGTTCTTTTTCTCTTCTTCACCATATAGGCAAAAATTCTTCAATTAATAGTTTTAAGCCAAACCAACCAGTATAACAGCATTACAGACTCTGATCTGAAGAAACAAAAAAGCAAATACAATGGTACGATACAAAGTATAAAAATTAGAGGTCAACCAATGTATCGGTTTTGCCGATTAATCGGCACCGATAGTTGATTGCTGCAACTATCGGTTATCGGCAAAAATCCATGCCGATAGTTTTCCGGGTTGCGTCCATTGCTGGAGCGGCTGAGAAGGGTCTGCTGTCATTACACAGTGCGAGAGTGGCCTCTAGTGGTTGAAATCATTGACAGCATGTGCTATTTGTTAGACACGTGATACTGCACGCTGAACAGAGCGGGAAACTTCAAACACGAATTTAAATGCAGCCGACAGAAAATCCTGCCGCGACACAAAGCGCCATTCACATAGTTTTCCTTTAAATTACATTATATTGGTCCCGAATCGTTGTTAATGTACATAATGAATTGTTTATTGTGCATTTTCAGCGAAACGTTTGTCTTTCTGTGGCTCTAATTAAGTCTGTGTGCTTAATTTATAGAGCTATAATATAGGTCGCGCTTTCTCTTTCCGTTTGCTCCGTTTTTTAAACACCGAACTTCAAACTCGTCTATGCCAAATTGTTCATTCTTGAAGTAAGCTTGTGCCCGTTTGGTGATTAAATAAACTGTTTTAGACCGCTGCTCGAGTTGAACGCGTTTTGTTTTACTACTACTAGTATGGTTCAGTACTGTTTTTGTTAATAAAGCACTATTTTAGTTTTTGTTCAGTATCAATTTTAAAACTATCGGTTAATTAATCGGTATCGGCCAGTGTGGTCCAACCTAGCTATCGGTATCGGCAAAATCCACTATCGGTCGACCTCTAATAAAAATAACATGTTTGCTTATTCAGGGTTTCTGCAGGTCTTAATTTGCCCTTATATAATTAAGAATAGTATAATATGCACATATTTAAAGCCATAAAAAGTCATAAATAGGGGCTTATGAAATGTAATCTAAATTAGACCTTTTTTTTGGACTGTTTTTTTCTTGTAAACGGTGCTTGATCTTTGCATATTTCTCTCCTGATTCAAACGAGACTACTTTTTCACTGGAGGAAGCAATATTATAGAGAGGACGCATTTGAAGCTGAAAACATCTTGATGATGGATTTGTTTCTTACAAACATGAAGCTTTTGGCTTCACATGGCATTAATTGATGGACTGGAGTCGTGTGGATTATTGCGATGTTTTTATCAGCTGTTTGGACTCTCATTCTGACGGCACCCATTCACTGCAGAGGATCCACTGGTGAGCAAGTGATACGTAATGCTAAATCTCTCCACATGTGTTCTGTAAACTATTCCTTTAACTGTGCACAGGTGATGTGAGCTGCCTCATACTCACCATAGGGTGGTTCTGTGCGGTCTTCAATAAAGATAACGGGAGCTAGGAGAGAAGAACTCATCAAATGAACCATTAAGGGTGGTGATGATGACAATATTTTACATAAAAGCGCATGAAAACTTTCTTCAGTGCTCTGGATGGATTGTTTTTACTCATGATTACTGAATAAAGATTTTAAAAACACGAACAGAAATTGCACAAGAACAGCTATTAGACTGGAATTAATTATATAAGAATTATATATGGTGTCAATTCCAACATCTACGGACAGCCTTGTCAATGGATAACGCACCATTGAATTTTCAAATATTTCTTAGTGATGCGAGTAAATATTGTGTAAAATAAAAAGTCTTGTATTCAGTTCTGAAACTATGTGCATCGATCTGGCTGACATTTCAATACATTTGGTCGGCATTAGACACTGAAAAGCCGAAATCTGTTGAGTACTAAAGTGCATCGCACGTGTCTGTAGTACTTTATAGCGGGTTTCGTTTTTAAAACGACTAGAAACTAGCCTATTAAAACAAGATCCCACGTCTACGTGCAAAAACGCGTTCGTTTAAATACGAAACGTTCACCGAACGTAACTATATTTGCGATGCAGACCGGTACCTGAGCTAACGTTACTTCTCTACTCAACACAGCAACTGAGCTTCAGTTTAACTAGCCTGCGAGTTTATAGACGTCGCTTACCATGTCAGCAGAGCGGCTGATTAGTCTTTTTAAATCTCTAATAAAGTTTCAATCAGCTAAAGTCTTCAATCACGAAGATGTGTTGTGAATCTTCTATGCAACACAAGGTGGTTTGCAAAACGTACTGTTGTACTTCCAGGTGAAAGCGGAAGTTGTCAAAATAAAAGCCCCCATACTAAATATATATATCATCGTGATATTTACTGCAGTAATATTGAATATCTATTCATTTAGCAACACACTCAACATCGATCATAAAATGCGGTTTATTTTGGAATACAGATCACATTATTTTATACTTTGGATTATTGCACTTTTACGCTATATACACACATCTGAATGTACAATATCAACAGTTCAAGAATCCACTGCCGTCGTTTTTGCACTGCGTTTTTTCGCCTCCTTTCTATTCTGTTTCTTCTTTTGTCTTCTGATCTTCTCTTGTTCGTGTTTCCTTTTTTCTTCCAAATCTGGATCCTGTGATCGATATAAAACAAGTGTAGGTCAAAATAAATAAAGAAATATTTAAATAAAGTATAATAATTCATTAAAATATATATTTAATGATTACATATATATATATATCGTTACATAATTTTTCCTAAAAGCCTATAATCTTTTCTGATAGTGTAGTATGTTTAAAGAATGCATTTAGAATAAAACAACTTACTTTTCCCTCCAGAATCATTTGCTTCCTTTTGTTTATCTTCTTTTTCTCATCAAAATCAGTGGATTCCAGTCTCTATAACAGAATACAAACTGTAAGATTTTTGCCAGCGTGTTCTATATAAAATATGTACATCGAAAAAGTCTTCTCACAATTTCACACTGTCGTCTTGTTACATTGACTTGCGTGAGGATCTTCAACACCTCTTTTTCTTCAACAGGAAACTCACTCAGCTTCGCCTCTAAACACACAAAACAGCAATCAAACATATGTACACTTACAGCAAGTCATTTCATACTCCAGTGCTTCTGAGCATTTAAGGAGCTTTTAATCACAGTACAGTATAAATGTAGATTTGAAAGTGCTCTCTTTTTAAGCAGAAAGCAGATTTAGTTGTGAACTTACGGATCTGCTCCTCAATGGCACTGATGAGATGGATGTCATACTGTGTGACTAGTGTGATTGCTACACCATTTCGGCCTGGACAAAACAGAAAGGACATTATAAAACAGATGGTCCAGTTCTGAATGTGGACTTGACAATATAGCGTTCCAACCAACTAAAAATCTATGATATAGTAACGTTTATGATGTAAAAATAGGGCTGCACAATTAATCAAAAATTTGTATTTTCCAAGATTACAAATGACAGATTTCACAACTATTTGATCATGAAAAGTGTTACAGTAATTACACCTTCCATATCTTTTGTTGTTGATGGTCAATCAAAGTCAATCAGACTCAATGTACTTTGGCACAGATCCATCGGTCACTTGGTATTACGGCTAACAAACACTAATATAATATCTCAGTGTTTATAAAATCCCATCTGATGTTTTTATGCATACATATAAATGTCCCTTTTTTGTCATGTCATGCGAATAATTTTTTATATTAGTGCAGTTCATAGTGATATATTAATGCATATTAAGGATATTTTTATTACTCGACTCTTTTACAGATTTAAGAAAAATATATAAATGAATATCTATTCTTAAATTGTATATTATAATGCTGTGAGCCCATAATGAATTACCACATTTAAAATGAGTGATTTTTAGACTTTAGCGTTGTATATTTTTAATGAATACTACAGAAAATGGTATAGAATTGTAAAATTAGCCGTAACATTAAATAATCAGTTTATCAGTATCAGCCAGATTCTTAGCACTGGTGCATCCCAAAGCAAAACTACTGAGAAGCACGGTTCCTGAGCAAGGATAATCATGACTATATTCACAATATAACAAAGCCTCTCATACCTTACTGTTAACTCTTCAGATCGCACTGTTAAAGAGCTCTAAACTCACCGGCTCGAGCGGTTCGTCCCACTCTGTGGATGTAGATTTTTGGCAAACCTGGTGTGTTGTGGTTAATAACAACTTGCACTGTAGGGATATCCAAACCCCTTCAGAGAAGACCAGAACGAACAAACACAAAAACACACGAAAGTAGAGCAAATTAGAAAACAGCAAAGAGATGATGAGCAATTGTGAGATGTGTTGAGAAATATTTGCTCTGTACCTTGCAGCAACATCTGTGGCTATGAGAATTTTAAAGACGTTAGACTTGAACTTTGCAAGGTTGGCAAAACGCTGTCTCTGAAAGCAGAAGAACATAAAATCCATTAGTACAGACATTAGGCGCTGAGTGAGAATCCATTTCAACTACATAACATGTCACTTACCTGCTTCATCATTGAGTGCAGGGAGATGGTTGGGAAATTGAATTCACGCAGCATCATTGCGAGTATCTGACAGTTCCTGGAACATTAATAAACATTATACAATTATGCTGCTAACAATAACTGTAATAGATTTTTACATTTTCATGTAAAAATGAGGTTGTTTGGACGATCTGGTGGTTTCTTAGTGCTCAAGTCAAAAAAGCACACTGCCAACCTTTGGTTATATTCATGTCTCTAAGATTCAGTTTTATACTTTAACCATCATAATGCATTCGGGTCTATTTTGACCCAGAAGAGATACATACATTTCTAAAAACTGCATAGCATTTAATAAGGGAACTCAATTTTGCAAGTGTCTTAAGCACTTAAAACACACAATTATTTGTTTGTTTTACAATTATTTTGTAAGAGAGAAATAACCATTTAAAAAAAAAGTTACACTTTTTGTGTTTGGGCCATTTTGGACCCAGGTATGTATGGAGTACAGTTAGGTGTCAAAAATACTTTTTGTTATCTATGAAGTTACCGTCAAAAAAAAACATCACTTTCATCACTTTTTTCATGTGAAAGTGAACATTTGTGCAAGTAAAATAAATGTATTTTGTTTTAGAAGTTTCAGAGTAATATTTATTTTGTTTTGTTAGAAATAAATATGTAGGTTTCATACATTTGGACTGTTTTTGAGCAATCATGAGTTATAAAGACAAAGGAATTTAATTCAATTCCATTCATTCCAGTGGGGTTAATACTGGTAATTCTCAGATTATATGTTCTTGAAAAATTCATACAATTATATATTCAGAGATAAGATATAAGATAAGATTTAAAAATATTAAACTATGACAGTTTATAAAGCACAGATTCTTTGGGTCCAAAAGGACCTGGGATGCAAAAATTGTATACAGATTTTGAATGCACTATGAGGGTTAACGTAACTCTATGGGATTTGCCCTCCAGGTGAAAATGTTAAATCCAAGTAAACAAACCGCCCAGTTTGAGGTATCATTAGCGCCCATTGCACAAGCAGTTGGGTTATGTATGGGTTATGATGCAAATTTGAAGACTTATAGGGATTTGTCTTAATTAGAATTGATAAACCCTGTAATGTTTTTTTTTTTTCCTGAAAGTGAAAACTTACTTGCACGTGTTAGTGAATATCATAATAGACCAATCATCATGTTCATCCTGGAACTTTTGGATGAGATGGACCAGGTAAGCATCTTTGACTTTCTCAGGAGTGAGGATGAATCTCTGATCCAGTTCTTCGACCGTCTGCACTCTGACAGAAAGAGAGAGAGCCATGTGACAGAAAAATTAGGCCTTTGTGGAAACAAGCTTTAATGTCTATGAGAAGCCTCTTAAAATAATATATATATTTATACACACACTACCATTCAAAGGTTTGAGGTCAGTAAGATTTTTGAAGTATTTTTTTTTTTTAAATACTAATACTTTTAAAAAGTGAAAAAGTGACGTGGCCAAGTATGGTTAACCACACTCGGAATTAGTGCTCTGCATTTAACCCATCCTTAGTGCACACACACACACACCGTGAACACACACCCGGAGCAGTGGGCAGTCCTTTTATGCTGCGCTGCCCGGGGAGCAGTTGGGGGTTCGGTGCCTTGCTCAAGGGCACCTCAGTCGTGGTATTGAAGGTGGGAGAGAGCACTGTACATTCACTCCCTCCACCTACAATCCCTGCCGGTACGAGACTCGAACCCTCAACCTTTGGGTTACGAGTCCGACTTTCTAACCATTAGGCCACGACTTCCCCAAAGATGCATTTTTTTATCCAGCAAAGATGCATTTATTTGATCAAAAGTAACAGTAAAAACTAAATATTTATATTTATAATAAATGTTGTTGTTTTTTAAGTCTCTATTCATCAGAGACTTCTGAATAAACGTCTGAATAAACGTATCACAGTTTCCATAAAAATGGAACATCGATGTCTCCAATTGCACATTTAGTTCAATATCTGTCAACTATAAATGTGCAATGCATTATGTCAGTGTGCAATAGGAAGAAATCTAGTTTTGTACTAGTGATGTGTGCTACTACTAATTTCATTAACATTTAAATAGAAATTTTGTAGCCCACTAGTCGATTAGTTTAACAAAGCCCCAGAAGACACTCATCTGTATGCGATCCATTTGAAATAGCTTTTGCCTATTTAGATCAAGTTTATAGAATTAAAGCAAGCTTAATTGTTATATACCAGTTTTATATTTCTGGCCCAAAAATCACATTTTCTGTCAAGGAAGCAAAATTCTGCACTTTAAATTTCAACACATTCTTTTTTATTTATTTATAAAGCATTACTAAAAAACCAGGGGTAACCACAGTTCTTTACAATAAAAATGTTTAAAAAAGAAAGAAAAGAGAACCTGTCATACACATATTTACAAGTCAGACAATCACATATACTGTACTGATACTGACCAACTGTCATAGGCTGCCACCATCAAATGAGCTTTCTGCAGATTCTTAAAGGTGGGGTAAGCGATTTTTCAAAAACGCTTTAGAAAACTGATTCGGGCCGACTAGCAAAACAAACTTGTAGCCAATCAGCAGTAAGGGGCATGTCTACTCATGATGCAGAGGAGAGAGCGTTCAGTGCACAGGACGGACATTAGCGAGCCGAGCAACAGAAAGACAGAGATGACGGATAAAAAAAAACAAAAGAGGAAAACGTCTGCGGAACAAAAGAAGGCTTAAGGAAAGAAGTAG